TGTGAATGGGAATAAACCTAAATTGGCCTTTTAGATATGGTTGAAAAGTTGTGGTGTTGCAGTGTTTTACTGCAGTGTCACGATGGCATGAATTTCTCAGGGTCTGAGGTTTAAATCAGATGCAATATCCCACTTACTCAAATATCCTGTTTATAGGTTTTGTTATTAATAATCTGTTTACTGTTTTACAACTGCCATGGCTTAATCAACTGGTATTAAGTAGATAAGATAGTATTGTATTGCAAAGGGTGTAACTCCTGGTTAATTATGTTTCTGAACAAAACACAGCAATTAAGCTGCAGCTATCTGCAGACACCTTAGGAATATAGGAATATATGCTAGGAATATATGCATCTCCTGCTCTGTTTGAAAGGTGCATTAGGGAATTCAGATCTGTTTTAGTATGGCCACATGAGGAAGCTCTTCCACACTTTTCATTTTATAGGAATCTATTGCCATGCCCTTCCCTAAGATGAAAGGAAGTTCATTTGTCATTGTTGCCTGTTCCTAAAACTATAAAACTCAGCAGGACAAGCGGTTGCATTTGGTGCACCAGTAGCCAGGTCACAGTGAAAGCGGCCAAGAGTTTGATTATTGGAGTTCAGGTAAGGTTCATGGAAGCAGCAACATTTCTGTTTGATTCAAGTAACGCACTTGTGACTGAAATGAAAACATTTTACTCATTGTGGGAAAGTAATGAACACCATTTCAAACCCGTAACTTGACAAAGATGTTGACAGAGCTACCGAGAGTAAGGTGCCATGACACCATTGCAGTTATAATGATTAACCTATTAATGGGGCTGTAATCATTGTTTGGCAGCATGGCTTGATTTACTTCAAGGAAATAAATATCCCTGTGCTCTAGGAGGTGATTTAATTTTCTTTTTCCTGGGTCTTGGATCCCCAAAGAAAGCAAATGCCTGTAAAAACACTGTGTTGACCTTGCGCTCATTACTCCTTGAAGGCAGCAGTGTGTGGGGGCAGGGGATGGGGAAAAAAATCACTTTCCAGAAGTAAAAGGTCCATTCATTGAAGTATTTGATATTTCTCAGTACTTCTCATCCTGAAATACATACAGAAGAGAAATGTGATACCTTAACTGGGCACTGCATTCCCACAGCTTCCTAGTGTTCATCTTCACAGCCAAACTAAGATCCATCAGTGGGCAACATGGTTCAGAAAGCTGGCCAAAAAAAAAAGATGTTTAAAACCAATTCCCTTTTCATGGCTCCCTAGAATTTTAAAACTATATGCAAAGAAAACCATTTACAGGGAGTCAAAAGCCATTTTGAAAAACTGTCTCAGTTTAACTAACTTGATTGACATCTCAGTTTAACAAAAACAGAATTCAGCCATCGTGCGACTTCATGTTACTCACTCTCACTGCTCTGAAAAGGACTAAAAGCTGAGATTTCAATATGAGCAGCAGTATCACATTTCCATGTGCTTTACTGTATTCCACAAAGTGATCAGAATTCCAGCTGGCCATTTTGCATTCATGGTCTTGAACAAACCTCATATGAGTCCTGGTGCATAACATTAGCAAGGCCTGAATAGCTGGTACATAAAACCTCTGCAGGGGCTCAATAACCTGGTCATGAGCCCACAGTTAATAAACACTTTTTCTGAAAAGTCCAGTGGCCTCTCCAATGGCACTTCAGGCAGGATTTTTTCTGTTTCTCTCAGGTGGGGAAAAGCTCTCCACAATTCCACCCACACCAGGCAACCAGTTGCCTTGACATTTTGCCATCAATGTCAGCATGGCCAGAGTTTGACCATCATTTTAATAGTTGAAGAAAAAAACAGATGCTTCTCTTTTCTGTTGCTGCCCTCCTGCAGCCAGTGGGTCAGTCATTCCCAGGCTGCTGCAATGTACATTCCAAGTCAGCAGGTTACAAGAATCACTGAATTTGCAAGCCTGGATTCTCATTCTGGATCTAAATAAATTCACAGGTAACTGGAACACTCACAACTAATCACAGCCAGGGTGAAATGCAAACCAAGCTCATCACAACCCTTGCAAACAACCAAAGGAGTCTTGTCCTGGCTGCAATGTACATGAGGAGGAGACAGCAGCAACCTGCAGAGGAGCAGCTTCTGGTGTGTGATTTGAAGACCATGCTGTGTTTAGCAGGCAGCTCTCACTGGGTGCCACTGTCCTCTTCATCCCTTGGCAAACTCTGCCTTTTAGTCTTTTCAGACTGGGCACTCAACAAAGTCTAGGAGAATTAGCTGTCTACTGCTATCAGAAGCCAAGAGGATTTGGATATCCAGCACTGCTTGGCTCCTTCACAACCCTCAGCTTCAAACAGTTTTTCAATATTTCATGGCATTGTTTGCTAGAAAAAAATTATAATCCCTCTAACCAAAAAGAAAATCAATTTGTAAAAAAATGGAAACAAGACAGATGTCCTTTCCGTGCCCTGCTATCTATGCAGAAACTAGCCAGGTTGCTAAGGGTTAAATTTGTTCCTGGGTTGGCCCAATCACATTTCTTTTTGCCTTCTTATTAGGTTAAATAAATAGAAACTTCTTGCAATATCCATCCATAACGATAAGCAATTCCCACTATAATGGAGGGCTAATATATAAATTCAGCCCACATCAGTTTTGTGTCAACTAGCAAAAACAGAAACAATGGAAACTAGACAGTCATGGCTCTGCATAGGTCAACAACCAAGGTTATCTGTATTCAATTACTGGTATCTGCAAACTTGCATACTGTCAGCTGATCATAGACTAAATGAAAACTTATCATGCACAGAGGCAGCAAATACATTTATTTGAAGCAGGCATCATATTAGTTCCTTGGTTCGACTGTGGTTAAGGGGAAAAAAGGGGTTATCAGTCTTTTGGGAAATTCTTTCAACTATAACCTGCAGCAAATATCTAAAATTGGGGATTATCTATGTTATAAATCTTTGTTCAAAAAGTAGAAAAGGAACAGAAATTGCACTGTAGCCCTCTAAGACGATAAATTATATTATTTAACAATAGATAAACTTAGGGCACCTTTCCTGTGGTACAGCCCTATTGTGAATTAAGCTTTAATCTGCTTCACCTCAACATCTGTTCTGTGGGACCAAAGATCTGGCTGGATTGGACACAGACAGTAATTTGTTTGTTAACTGCTTCTCCGGAACAATAGATCATTTCAGAAAACAAAGCCTACTAACACAACGCATATTTATCTGTTTCCTCTATCTGTGTTCCTTTTTCCATAAGTGCAAGTTCAGGCTTTTGAAATGTTTTCCTAGAGATAATTTGTGATGCTGTTAGATTCATAACCCTGGAAAAATAGATTTTTTTTTTTCAAGGTTTTTTTCATCTTTGACCAACAGATGTTCTGTTCAAAATCTGAAAGTACTCACGATGTATGTACTAGCAAATTATAATTGTTAACGCCCCTGTGGAAGGAAAATGTCAAATATTTTCTATCAATAGACTGTTTGGAAACAAAGGCATTTGCTTCACAGAAGTTCACATGCTCAATCTTCCCGTTCGGCTTTTCCAACAGTCTATTCAATTAGACATTTAACATTTTGTTTGTTTTCAGAAGAGGAAGTGAAAATTAACTTCACAGAAACAAAAAATAAGACATAAAAGCCAGAGGGCATCCTGTATTCCGTTGTAAAATGACACTCCAGTGCATTTTGGTGATACAAAGGTGACCACAGAAACAAGCCTGTGATCCAGCGCCAGCATTTTACCACTGCACACCAAGGTGGCAATTGAAGAACAAAAAACATCTGGGACCATGATGTAGATAAATATCCAAACATATGTCTTCTAATCAGAGCTCTCCACCCCCATGGATAGTCTCCCTTGGCCAGACAACTTTGATAAAAAACATATTTACCTGCAAGTCTCCTCCTCCATGGCTCTCTAGTGTGACATTGCAGTGTTTGAATGGTTCATACTTCCCACTATAAATTTTAAAGGTGAGATTTATCCTCTATTGAAGAGGCTAAAACCTCTCTGCTAAAACTTCTCTCTTTTTCTCCTTCTTTTAGCTTGAAACAAGAAAATCACCACAATTTTCAACAGCAACAGGGCAAGCTCTCTGCAGAACTCTCCTGCAGAAATGTCTTAAATCCATACCCTGTCAGTCCTTGTACACAATATGCCATCCTTATATTGTGTTATATTGTGTTGTGCTTTACTGTCTTCTACTCTAGCCTGTATCTCATTGCATTATTTTATCTCCCTCCTTGTAGCATTGGGTATGTCCAAACCCCTCATAGTGCTGTACAGAAGAACAAGACTAATGTCTGACACATGCTGTCATGATTTAGGGAATCAATCTCTATACCACTAAAATTAATTCTGTTTTATACCATTGACTGCAGTGCATCTGTTTCAGAGAGCAAGCCCCACATGGACTGGAACTTCCTGGCCCTCTCTGCAGCCTCTTGCCCTTTCATTGATGCACTGACCATAGGAGATGCAGGTTACATCCTTTTACCTGGCTACAGGGCTAACAGTAAAACATCATTAAAATGGGAAAAATCAGCTATGCAAATGAGGCAGAGAAATGGCTGCCAACCAAGGCAGAGGAACTCTTCCAAGTCTGAACCCTATCAGGCAGCAAGTTAGTAACTGTTTTGTGGATTCATTTGATGAGCTGATAAATATGATAAGAGGGCACCTGAGGTGTTACACAAATCAGGAGAGACTGAGAATCTGAGTTTCTGAGAAGTCAGAGGCAGGAATTTTTGTCTAGAAGAAGAATTGTGACCTACTTAGAGGAATCTGACTTAAGCCCCAAATAATGTTCTTGCTCAAGCATGAATTACAAGCAGCTGAAGAAAGATGAGCTTTTGCACTTGTGCTCTAGCCAAGTTTGCCCACATCTAATGAGCAGAAGTACAACTCTGTGCCATTTTGTATTCCCAGGATGTGATGCAGATGGAGAAGCTGCTCTGAATGTGGGTCCAGAAGCTGTTCACCCACTCCTCCAGGCACTCCACATATCCTGTCTCATGCCTCTCCTTGCAGGGCCTGGAGGTGGAAAGCATCAGGTTCAAAAGCAGAGGGAGCAGCAGTAGCTGTGAGAAGCAGCCTTACAAACTGGAACCAGAGCTGGCAGCAGTGCTGGAGCACTGGGCATGGATCAGGCTGGAGAAAAAGAATTAACAGTTCCATGCTCAGAAGCCTGGAGAGTGAGAAAGCAGCTGTCACCCGTGGAGGGAGGGGAAATGCTGAGCTGCCACACATAAACTCAGGTACGATAGTCTCAGTACAGAAAAATTCCTGGGGGCAAAAATATGGTGAAAATATGGGTCTTGGTTCAGCCCCATCCTGGGCGATGCCTCGCTGCGTGTCAAGTCTGGGCAGATGCTTTGTGTGTTGTGTTATTTGGGCCAAAGTCCCACAGGAAAAAAAAAAAAAAAACCTGACTCCAAATTGAAAGATGCTATGAGTCAGTCTTCTGATGAAAGAGAAGAACGTGATGTTGGGGCTGGCAAACACGATAGTGCTGTGGGATTAAAAGGAAAAAAAAAAAAAAAAAAAAAGAAAAGCCCTCAGAGAAAGGGTATGCAAATGATGGGAAAAAGAGCATAAGAGGACATTTTCTCCAAGGATGCTTTTGCTATATCCCTGCCTTCCTTTCCCCCAGAGGGTCATGTGTGAGCTCATCAAGTCAGGATCCAGAAGAAGAATGTAAAGTTTAATGACTGAAGTATCCCATTGGCCTCCATGACAGAAGTGTTTTAGTTGTGGTTTGAGGCCACCTGGGGTCCTGACCTAAGCAGATCCCTGAGAGGTGGGAGAGCCCTGGGTGTTGCCCAGCTATGTTGGGCAGACTGGGAGACATGGCCAAAAAGCCACCCAGGAAACAGCTGGGCCCACACTGGCACCACACGCTGTCCAGCATCACAGCTTGAAGTGAGACTGACTTTCACCGACAGCTCAAGTTTTAACCAATTCCTATTAACTACAAAGTAAAACTAAATGCTGGCATTGGCACTGCCTGGAAACAGCAAGGGGAAAGCAGGAATTGCACAGAGCAGGGGAAATTGCAGGCTGTGAAGGATAGCTGAATGCTATGTGGTTTTGGTTAGCAGAAGTGTTTTCTACAGCAAAGGCCTCACATTTAAAGACACCATTTTAACTTGGCAGCACTGGGGCCAAGTTTAATGCAAGTAGGGTAAAAGCAACAGTGGAAGAGGCAGCTGTTGTCAGAAAACACTTCATGGAAAATATTAAAGTTCTCTTGAGGCATGTAGAAAAATTCCAGAATACTGTATTATTATTGTTATTATTATTACCCTTGATCTTTTGAAAGGTGGGGATGGAGTATCTGCAGTTTTAAAGACAGAAGACAAGACATCTGCACCCTTTAAAAAGAAAAGCACAAAGGCTGCTAGGCTCTCCTTGCAACATTTTTAATTATTTTCCTTAAGTTTCCCAGATAAAAACACATTGCATGGAGCCTCACCCAATAAAACTAAGCAGGTATAAAGGCAATACCCGTTGTCTAATCAATATCATATTGCTCATGGCTTTAGCTTGTTCAATAGCTGAGCTCATTGACTCCTGAGTTGCACCTTAGGATGCCAATATCTGCTTAATTTTGGACAAACTGCATTAGTCATTGCCTGTAACTGAGTTCTTTAATCTCATTAATAACCCACAGATACTGAAACACAGCTTAGAGTGAGCTGGCTGGACTCTGCCAGGTTCCCATGTGCACTCCAGCTCAGGGGGCCATGTGTTGTATGTTAGGCCCTTTGCCCCTGCAGAGGCTGCAGCTCTCCTGTCCCACTGCTCCTCAACCCAAACACCCATTAATGCCAGAAACTGCAAAAAAATAAAGTCCAAGGGAATTCTGCTATCAGATAGAGAGAATTGTGTCTGTATTTAGTGCATCACAGCCCCCATACCACACGATCTGTGGTGGCCTCAGCCCCAGCACGGGGGAGGCAGGAACACCTCCTGCTACCCACGCCTCATCCTCTGCATATGGCAGAGAACCCACGTGCTGCAGCCCCACAAGTGTGCATCAATAAATTATCTTCATTGGAAACACATTGCAAACAAAATGCAAATGGCAAGAAAGTGCTTGTTCTCAGAGGTCTGTCTTGAGAGTTCATCTACCCAGATTATAAACACTTGATAAGCATCCTGGTTTTCAGGCTAACTGTCTGTATGGCAGATCCCAGGACTAGGCTCCTGGGATTTCAAAATGTATCATGAAATAAAAACAGCTGCAAGGGAAACTCATATGACTAGGATAGGTGCCATATAGCAATTAACAGCCAGAAGTTTTGATCTGGAAAATCACATTTATTTTAATTGCTTCACTGTTGTGTTCATAAAGAATTTGGCTCATCTGATTATTTTCCTTATTAGATATACTACTTAACTTTGGAACAATGTAGTCATTAGTTCCATTGTTCGAGGTTTTTCATTGCAGTGAAATGAATGACAGAGACATGTTCTGCAAGGAAGATTGTTTATAAATATTTATCATAGCCTTAACAGATATTTGTGTAATCCATCCTAATTTTTCTAGCACATAATTCACCAGTTATTTAATCTGTTGTGTGATGAGTGGCAGGTTCCTTAACCTTGAGTTCAATAAGGCATTTAAAGTGTGTGATCTCTTATCACAAGAAGAGAGCAGGAGAGTAACTCATCTTTTTAATACACAAGTGGGGTTCTCTCTGTTTTCATTTAGCGGGCTGTTTAAAGACGATGCACACATCTGAATGCTCTCACTGCTGCTGTTCCTCTCTGAATTTGGCCTTGGCACCATGGCAAGGATCAGCCCTGCCTGCAGGACAGGAGTGGGATGGGATGGGATGGGATGGGATGGGATGGGATGGGATGGGATGGGATGGGATGGGATG